TTTAAGTGATGTTCAAGACGTAACAATTTTCGTTCTGTAATTACCTCGCGATCTTTTGCAATTTTAGCTGCATGTGCCGTTTGCCATGAAACTGAAATATATACAAAAAACTGACAATGCTATCTTGTCGATGGACAAAGGCAATCGCAAATTGCAATACGCATTCTTGGTGTACAGACACTCAAAAGGTGCCTTTGAACATAAACATAAACATTAAGCCTGGTTTCCATTAAATCGTAATCATCGCAATAGTCGCGGATCGAGACATCGCTATCGCAAAAATCGCAATAAGTCTATCTTTGCGACTTTTTTCGTAGGAGTCTTAGTGATCGGTGTGACTCAAGTTTCCAATAAATCGCAGTTTTTATTAAAATTTTCGCGTTTTTAAAATCGTTGCGACGCTTGCGATGCGGTTCTTGCGACAATTACGATTTAATGGAAACCAGGCTTTATATAATTCATTCGCACTGTGTCAAGCACGCAAGGGCCAATCGCAACAAGCGTTAGTCCGAACATAGACGAGTGAACCAACGGGAATTTAGTAAAGTAAAGACCTGCCTGATGTGCATGTATATTTCAGTTTTACACTTTTACGGCTGTGCACAAGTGTGTAGATAGCCCTAAGTAGCCCAAAAAGCAGTGATCCAGAACTGAGAAGTAGTATTTTATTTAATAGAAATTTATTACCACTGATTTTTGGGCTAGCTAGGATATCGATATAGCTATAGGTGTATATATGGGCAGCTACAATCCTGGACAAAACAGTCTGCGACACTTTCAATTATTTGCCGACAAAATTTCGTAATATTATCGCAAATTTAGAAAACCTCCCCCTTACCCCCACCAACCAATGTTGATTGCATTCGTAGAATACGGTTAAAAAGTCCAACATTAGTGTTTTGGGGGGTGGAGGGGGGCAAACGAGTAAATTATTCCGGTCTAATTGGTAAAAAAGCCACACTGAATGAATGTTTTAATAGAGTGTCGCAGATGGTTTTGTCCAGGATTGTAGATGCAAAAAAATTTATCCCGTATGGAGGAACAATTCCATTTTGGTACCTAAGGCTAAGCCCAGGGGCGTAGGAAGCATCAAAAGTTGGGGGGGGGCACCGGCCTCTAGGGGCTATTGAAAAGGGTACCCGGAAATGTTAGCGACGGGGGGGAGGGAGATACATTTTCCCGTCGTACCATACCGAAATTGCACGTTTTTGACCAAATTTTTTTAAAAAACTTGGAAATTTTCAAACAAAAAGGGCACCTTTGATGTTAATTTAGTATTAACAGCGACATTAGCTTGTACAAAAAGGGGCACTTTTCATCACAAAAAAGGGCACTTTTCATCACAAAAAAGGGCACTTTTAGTCCTTTGAAAAAATTTGGGGGGTGTGCCTACGCCCCTGGCTAAGCCACAATCATGGAAATAATATC